TCTCTCAGACTTATAAACCCCGTTATTTCCACTATTTCTATATTAGTGGGGATAAAGGTTATAATCCCCATGTTTCTGGTGGTAAGAAAAAAATGGCATGAAGAGTATTAATCTTGGTTCCATCAAGTTTCCTTTATCTCATTCAGATGGTCAATTATTCATATTAATGTTAATACAGAGAAAGTGTTTTATTTTTCAAACATCAAAATGCTTCTCCCATTTGGTATTTGCAACCACTGGACCTATAAAACTCCCTGTATTGACTCTGTCTGGCTGCCTCTGGAATACAAATTAAAGACAATGTTTGTGTTACTCCAGGGCTGGTAGGGGCCATGAAGAGTTAATATAAATTTCAGCAATGTTTTCTCATCTAGATGTAAACACGCTTGTTCTCTGAACCAGTACACAAAAAATACAAACCAATCACATAGTTACTCTTTTACTTAATATGCTATTAAAGCATTTACTCGTCACCCCAAATCTGGCTGTATGGATGAGAAATAATGGGGCCTAAAATTTGTAATACAATGATCATAGCATATGAGACCTTAAGTTGTTTAATTTTTCCAATCTTCCTCAGTTTTCTCATCTGTAATATAGAAACAGTACCTTTTTACCAGGGTTTTTGTGACTGTTAAGTGAGAATAATAAAAATGAAAACATTTTTTAAACTAACATTAGTAGTAGTTGTTGTGGTTGTTAATAAGCCCAGATAGAACCTTCCAATGCTACTCTTTTCAGAGATCATATATTCACTCTACAAATATATTCTGAGCCCCTATGAAGTGCCAAGCACTGCGTGATTCAGTGATGACCAAAACAACCATGGCTTCTGCCCTCAAAAGTTTTGCCTAGTGAGGGGGAAAGACATTAATTTAATCATCACACTTTAAAGAAGAAAAATTGAAACTGTAATAAGTGCTTTGAAGGTGATATATACAGTGTTATAAGAATTCATCTTAGAGGATTTTGACCAGGAGGGGCCGTTATGGTTCATTTATTTGACAGTATTAGTTGGGCACATGAATTGCCACACACTGTGAAAGTGCCAAGGATTCCAAGACCAAAGCACGATGTCAATCCTGTCAGCTCACTGTGCAGAGGCAGGCTCACATGGGTAAGCAGGCAAGCACCTGCCCACGGGAGGCCAGCAGGACACCAGGAAGAGAGCATTCTGCAGAGAAAGGAAGGGAAAGGGAGATGAGAAAACCTTTTTGTAAATGAGGCAGTGTGTGCATGTGAGTCGCTCAGTCGTGTCTGACTCTTTGCGGCCCCATGGACTGTAGCCCGCCAGGCTCCTCTGTCCGTGGAATTCTCCAGGCAAGGATACTGGAGTCGGGTGCCATTCCCTTCTGCAGGGGATCTTCCCGACCCGGGGATCAAACCCAGGTCTGCTGCACTGCAGGCAGATTTTCTACCATCTCAGTCATCAAGAAAGCCCCCAGACGAGGTGGGCCCAGCCTTAAAAAGTAAGTAGCAACTTCACTCTGAGGAAAGGCAATGAAGAAAGCCACAGAAATGTGAGCAAAAACAGAGCAGTGAAAGCGTCATCCATTGGAGAAGTAGTTGACAACTTCTGGAGACATTTTTGATGGTCACAACTTGGAGGGGCAGGGGGTGCTACCGGCATCGACTGGGTAGAGGACAGAGATGCTGCTAAACAGCCCACAAAACACAGGCGGCCTCTCACAGTGAAAAATTACCTGATCCAAAATGTCAACAAGGCTGAGGCTGAAAAAGGCTGCACTAGAGGAAATATGATAGAAAAGTCTAGGTGGTCATGTATGTATGAAAGAAGCTCAAAACACTTTTCCTTCCACATGAGAAACAGTCCCCAGAACTGGATGGCCTTCTTCTCTGGGGTGTTGCCCACAGCTCCCTGCAGGAGGCATTCAAGAAGGGAAATGCACACACGGGTCCAGGGTTCAAAAGAAAGACCTACAATGGACATGCAAGTTTAGGGCACATCAAGGAGGTGATGACTGAGGTCCTGGGAGTGAATGAGACCATGCAGGAAACAAGCGTGAGATACTGAAAAGAGAAGAGGGTCTGACACAGAACCCTGGGGAAACAGGCATGCAGCAGCAACAACAGCAAAGCGGAACCAGAGAGGATCAAAGGAGAAGGGCACCATGGCAGGCGGGGGAGGACAGGTTTTCAAAACTGAGGCACCATGATCCAATTCATTGAGCAGAAAACTTGCACATGGGTGTTAGCAACTGTATTCACAACTGCCAAAATGTGAAACAACCACAGTGTCCTGCAACAGGAGCATGGTCAGACAGACTGAGCACACCCACACATGGAGTACTACTGAGTGATAACAAAGAAAAGACTCACTAAGCCACAGAAAGACATGGAGGAAACTTAAATCCATGTTGCTAAGTGAAAGAAGCCAACCAGAAAATGCTCATCCTGTGTGACTCAAAGTATATAACATTCTGGAAAAAGGCAAAATTATGGGGACAGTAAAAAAGATCAATCATTGCCAGGGTCTGGGGGTCGCAGAACCGATCGACAGGTGGAATGCAGATCTTTGGGCAGTGAAACTGCTCTGTGTGGTACCGTAATAGTGGATATGTAACACTGTACAGTTATCAATGCTAAGTGAGATGTCAGATTGAGGAAAACAAATAATGTATAACTTACATGTGGATCTGAAAAGGCCAAACTCATAAAACAGAATCAAATGGTAGTTACCAAGGGACAGGGACTGAGAGAAAAGGAGTTAAGTTGTTTAAGGGTACATACTTGAGTTAGTCACTCAGTCGAGTCTGACTCTTTGAGACCCCATGGACTATAGCCCGCCAGGCTCCTCTCTCCATGGGACTTCCCAGTCAAGAATACTGGAATGGGTAGCCATTAGTTTCTCCAGGGGATCTTCCCAACCAAGGGATCAAACCCGCATCTCTTGTGTTTACTAAATTGGCAAGTGGATTCTTTACCGTCTAAGCCACCAGGAAAACCCCACAAACTTGCAACTAATAGATAATTAAGTGCTGAAATCTGTTGCACAATATAGTAAATATAGACAAAAATATTTTATTATAGTCATAAAAAGTGGTAAGAGACTAGATCTTAATAATTTCCATCACAAAAAAGAAATGACAATTATATGACATGATAGGGTGCTATTACCATATACAAATGTATCAAATCAATATGTTATATATATATGTTAAACAGTGTTTCATGATAAATAATACCATATGTATATTTAATTAAAAAGTAGGTATCCCTTCAAAAAAAAAAAAAAACCCATACAAATCTACAACACAAAGAGCAAGCCCTAATGTAAGCTATGCACTTCAGTATCAATATTGGCTTCTCAGTTGTGACAAATACACCACACTAATGCAAGATGTGAAAACTGTGCAAGGAGAAAGAACAGGTATATGGGAACTCTCTCTGTACTTTCCGCTCAATTTTTCTGTAAGCCGAAACTGCTCTAAAAAATAAAATCTATTAATTGTATTTGTAAAACTAAGACTTAGTAACTTAACTTCAGTTAATATGCTTGCTAATGAATGAAGATAAACAGAAAATGATACTAAACATTACTTTAAATATTGTAATTTATGGGCTTTCCAGGTGGCACTAGTGATAAAGAACTCGCTTGCCAATGCAGGAGACTTAAGAGACGCAGGTTCAATCCCTGGGTCAGGAAGATCCCCTGGAGGAAGGCATGGCAACTCACTCCAGTATTCTTGCCTGGAGAATTCCATGGACAGAGGAGCCTGGGGGGCTTCAGTCCACAGGGTCACAAAGAGTCGGACAAGAGTTGAAGCAACTTAGCACACAGCACACACCTTAAATGCTATAATTTATAATTTATCTGCATGAACCACAACCCTCAAAAAAAAAAAAAAAGACTTAAATATCATGCTGCTGCTGCTAAGTCGCTTCAGTCGTGTCCAACTTTGTGCGGCCCCACAGACGCAGCCCACCAGGCTCCCCCGTCCCTGGGATTCTCCAGACAAGAACACTGGAGTGGGTTGCCATTTCCTTCTCCAATGCATGAAAGTGAAAAGTGAAAGTGAACTCGCTCAGTCATGTCTGACTCTTAGCGACCCCATGGACTGCAGCCCACCAGGCTCCTCTGTCTATGGGATTTTCCAGGGGAGAGTACTGGAGCGGGGTGCCATTGTTAAATGTCACAGAGAAGGCAAATAAGGAGATCCAAAACTGAATCTACTCAACTTGATAGTTAGGATATCATGGTGACTTTTGACAGACAGTTAAGTGAAACCCTCTAGGCAAGGACTAGAGTGGGCTTTAACATGAATTAACGATAAAGAAGTGGAAAATAAGTGTAGAAGCTAACACCAGAATGGCAATCATTTTGCAAAATATAAATGTATCAAATCAATATATACACCATTTAATTTATACAATGTGATATGTTAAATATATCTCCATTTTTTAAATACAAAAAGAAGCATAGACAATTCTTTCAAGAAGCTAAACTGTGAAAGAAAAAAAGAACAGTGGGGGATGCAGAGACAAAGTCTTCTTCTTAATATAGAAAGGACTTGAACCTGTTTGTAAACAGAAGGGAAGACCCAGCAGAAAAGGAGAGATTAGAAATACTGAAAAGACAGAAGATTACTAAAGAACGGGTCAGTGGAGAAGCCATGGAAGATGACTGAGCCAAGCCTTAGAGGAAAATTGTTGGGAAAGAGGAAATTAGCCAAGATGGCGCCGTCAGGCTGCCTCGCGCCACAGCGTCGCGCCCTCGCCCCACGTTTTGTGAATACGCCTCTGTAGCGGCTGAGCGCACTTCCCGCACTGCGCATGCGTGTCCCGAGGTACTCGCCGGCCCCGAGGCGCTCTGTGCCGCACGTCTGTAAGAGCTCCACCACAAGGCCCTGGCTGCTGGGGCGTCGGGATACGCTGGAGTGGCGTCGTGGCTCTGTTATTACTGTATCATGGGGATGCTGCAGCCGCTGCCTCAGCCAGGAGAGGCTGTGTTACGGCCGCCGTGTCCGCCCGGAAGGAACATGTCTCTGCAGTTCCTGCGGCTCCTCAAGTCTCCCTCCAACCGCTTAGCCCGTGCCTTGCCGACCCTGGGGTCAGTGAACAGTGCGCGCAGTGTGACCAGCGAGACAATTGGCATCACAAACAGGATGAAGAGCAATACAAAAATATAGGGACTTACTTTTTCATATTTTAATAAGACTTTGAAAGACAACGGGTGGCTTGAGAAAAGACCAGCTTTGCCTCCCTCACCATCCTGACTGGTCCTCAGACTCAGATTCTCACAGAGCAGCCCGGGGAGCGCTGGACAAGCTGAGGAGGCCAGCTTTCCATGGATTTGTGGATTCGAATCAGGAATCCTAGGACCTGCCCCCATCTCACATCCACTGCATCGCCACACCACCATCAACCTCATTTCCTATTGATTTAATTCAGCTGCTTGACCCCCTTGCCACCTCAGGAACAACACTTGTAACATAGCTAACACAAAAAATTCCTAGTCTAGGACTGGGTGCTACAGGGAATTGATCTTGGGATCATACAGCCAGCAGCTCTGCAGATGGACCACCACTTCGGCTGAGGAAGTAAGCCTTCTGGTTGTGGGGATTTTCTTTCGAACATCACGGAGAAGAAAATCCAGTCAACCAAGACACTTCGTGGCAATTTACAGTATCTAACCTCCCCACGGTCAAAATGACCTCAAAAGATAAACTTTCACTTTGAGGTCAACGTGAACTTCAACATGAGCCAATTCTAATGCTAACCAACACTGGCATTCATCCAGTTTTTTAAAGCCTCTGTTTATATCAAGGAAAGCTGCACTGAGGCAGTCACAGATGGACTCAGCAATCTCTGAAAAAAACAAAAACAGTTTAAATGACTTTATATGGACTAACAGTCTTTATCACTAGCTTTCAATCTTACAAACACGGCATTTTTTTCTTTAAAAAAAGGTGGAAAAGCCAAATAGGCTAAAACCACATCATCCCAAAATGTGTTTCCAAAAGCTAGAGATCAAAGCCTCAAGCCTCATAGCATCCTATCCCCACAGTTAAACCATTTTGATATGAGAAGCCTAGCAGAGTATGGCATGGAAATCTTAGTTGCAGGATTTTCCAAGGGAAGACATTTCAGTGCCATAGAAATGAGTTGGCAAACCTCCCCTAACCTCAACCCTGCACCCTGATACTTTCAATTGCTTCTTCTACAGCCTTGTCCTATGCCTGGTCAGACATACAGTGCCAGGGGTAGACCATAGCGCAGCCTGAGTCATGAGCCACACATTCAAGGCCATGATCAGGATCACCACAAAGCCCTTGATACCAGCCTCACAGGAACACTGTGAAATCTGAGGAGGACTGCCGATTCTAAGTGCTCCCCCAATCATAAGATCCTCCTGGAGGTTATTTCATGCCTTTATCCATGCCACTTTCCCTGCTACCCTGTCTTCAGTGCTTGATCTGAAATGAACCAAAGGACACTCTGTGGAAAGGCAGGTGGCCTGACCTCTCTTTGCTGGGAATTCAGTCATCTGGGTGAGGCAACCAGAAAATGGTTCAAATGTTTACTGCAAAATCTAAACCTAGCGACTGGTCAGTAATGCAAGAAGTCAGATGATAACTTTGTATACTCTAAGTTCAATTATGGCCAGAAAATAAAACTACATGCAGTCAGAAAGAGCAAACATGCTTTGATCCCCTGAAACATGCAAACAAGGAATTATTTATGATGAGGGATACCAAGATGCAAAACAACAAGCTGCCAGGAGTTTACATCCTAACTCTGACCCCTGGTTGTAAAAGTGCCTTCTCCAGCTCCTGGTCTCCTGTGTGGCGGCATGGGATGGTGACCCAGAATGGTAACAGAATGCTTGTCTCTTTCAAAGCCATGCCAACAGAACGGAGACCATCCAGTGTCCGCAATAGGTGGATTGGAATGCTTGTGTCCCTTGAACCAAATGTCTTAGGGTTCCAAAAGAAACTTTTTACGGATTGTTTTGTAGCAGAAAATACATGATTGGACATCTCATACTAAAACCAGTCCTGTGACTATTCATAATGTGACTTTACCAGCACATGACATATGCTCTTAGAACAAAAATTTGTCCATGTGGTACCCAAGCCACCACAGTGAATCCCAGATGCTTGTAGAAGGATAATCTGATGAAAACTTGGGACCAATTGTTGGCACACGGGGCACACACCAATCATAAACTGCCTTTCAGTCCATCATATTTTATTCCTCCTACTAGAAGTTAAATTCTGGGAACACAAGAAATATATGACATCTTGTCTTTTCCCTTCCTCTGTTAGATTCTCTCTAACCTCATTAACACACCCATAAAAGTTTTCAGTGATAACCAATATTGAATGAAAAAATGAATAAGTGAATGAATGAATGAGTTATCAAAGCTGTATCAGACATATGTTTAGCTATGTTGCTGCTGCTGCTAAGTCGCTTCAGTCGTGTCCAACTCTGTGCGACCCCATAGACGGCAGCCCACCAGGCTCCCCCATCCCTGTGATTCTCCAGGCAGGAACACTGGAGTGGGTTGCCATTTCCTTCTCCAACGCGTGAAAGTGAAGTCGCTCAGTCGTGTCCGACTGTTAGCGACCCCATGGGCTGCAGCCTACCAGGCTCCTCTGTCCATGGGAGTTTCCAGGCAAGAGTACTGGAGTGGGGTGCCATTGCCTTCTCCGATGTTTAGCTATACATGAATGTAAAAAATAAAAACTTTCACTACAAGGCCTTTACACAGATATGGGTTTACTTAGTCTCTGGCCACTTAGAATCTAAGGGTGGGAACACCAGGCTGGCAAAGGAGCTCAGAATGCCAGAAGTCTCTGTGCTCTGGGTCACAAGGCAGCCGCCATACTTCCAGACGCCACGTCCTGTTTACAGGAAGCAAGGCGTGAGGGCTACCGACCTTCTCCCCCGGCAGCTTGGTCTCTTTGCGTGGGAAGGCAAGCTGGGCACCTGCATCCCAGGTCAGCACTGAGCCATGTGGCCACCCCAGGCAGAGTGTGTTCAAGAACAGTGAGTGCTGAGCAGCCTGGCCTCTTTCAAGAGGAGACACAAGGGACAGCCAGGTGGGAATGGGGTTGAATGGCCGAGCCCCGGGGTTATATGCTGAGAGCTCTTTTCCCAAGAATAAATGGTTTTCATGAAACTTACGCCTCACTAATACTGTTTTGTTCCATTTATTTAGTCCAGGCTCTTGAAATGGGTGTAATGAAGGGTCCTCTTCATTTCACTCCAGTATCCTTAGAGTCCAGTGAGAGCCTTAGAGTCCAGTTCTTCCAATCATTTCGAATTGATATGGACAGTTCAGATTTCTATCCCAAACTTCTGTCCAGTTCTATTTATTTCAAGACCAACTTTTTTCAAACTGATTCATTTTGTTGACATTCTTTGTACCCTGCCTTGTTTATAAGGGAGAGAGCTTGAATTCAAACTCAATCAGATCTGCAGTTGCCACTGCTTAGCTGCTTCTGGAATCCTGTGTCCCAGGGAGACACCTGGGCACATTTTGCCACCAAGATGATTTGCTCACAATGTCTGCTCACTCAAGTCCATATAAGGTTGCCTGGTATGTGGTAAACACATAAAAATAAAATATGAGAAGAATTATTCATGGACTTGGAGAGTTGAAAAAAAATATTATAACCCAGTCTCAAATTATATATAAAAATCAATTTCAGGTCATTTAGAAACTATGAAAAACAAAACTTCTAGACTTAATGTTAAGATACACACTTATGAAGTATGTTAAGAAAGGATTTCTTAAACACGCCATAGAAAATATAAAGCATAAAAAAGTATAACTTTGCCTACATTAAAATTACTTCTAGATGAAATGAGACAATAATAAAAATTTAAAAGACAAGGCCCAGAGAAAGTGAAAATGCTTGCAGTTCATTGCATTGATTTTGTTAAAAACATGAATGACATCCAGAATAAAATATAAAGATCTATAAGTGAACTAAAGAAATAGAAAAGACAAAAATAGGGGGAAATGTGTAATAGACTCAAGAAGAAATCTGAACAGCCCATAAATATACAAAATAAATGCTGACCCTCACTTGTAATCAGAGAATTGAAAAAATTAATACAATGCTCACTCACATACATTAAATCAGGAAAAACATATGCCTGTCAATACTAAATGTAGAGACTTCCCTGGTGGTCCAGTGACTAAAATTCCATGCTTCCAGTGCAGGGGGCCCAGGTTTGATCTCTGTCCAGGGACCTAGATCCCACATGCCGCAACTAAAAAGAAAGAAAGTTCCTGCATGCCGCCAAGAAGATCCCAAAAGCAGTAACCAAGGTCCTGCAAGCCAATGCAGCCAAATAAATAAATAAATATTTTTTAAATATACTAAACGCACGGGTGAAGGAAAGCTGGAGCCCTCCAATGTTGCTGGTGGGAGTTTCAGCTGGCACAGACACTCGGAGGGTGATTTGGACTGTCTAGTGCATCTCAAGCCTCAGCAATCCTCTCCCCCAGCACACGTCCTGCAAAAAATCTTCTCAGCGCGCAAGAGATAATAGAAACTAAGATGGTCATGATAGCTTTGTTTGTGACAACAGCAATTTGGAAGCAGTTTAATTGTCCATCAGTAGGAGAATGGGTGCATAAATTACGTATTCATCCATTGGAATACTATGAAAACATTAAATGAGCTAGAGCTCATATTTCAAGAGAGAAAAATTTCCATTTTGGAAACGAAAAACACCAACCTTCATCAAGCTCTGTGCCCTGCATTCATTTCCATCCTCCATCTGTTTAAATTCCATTTCTCTTCCAAAATCCTTCCAGAAACTTTCCCTGATGTTTCCAACTGTGATCCTTCCCAGGGGGCTTGTGGTTTGTATCTCTCTTACAATACTCACTACCAGTACAGCACAAAAAAATGCCCTGGCTTCATCATCACACCGACTTTCTTTTTTTCTTAATCTTGGGTCATTTGATGGGGTGAAAAGTATTACTTCGATATTTGCCGATTACTCATGAGATTGAAATTTTTCATATGCTAATTATCTTACTGTATTTCTTCTGTCTTATTTGCAGCATCCTCTATAGCATTTGCACAT